AATTTGGAGTCACTCAAGACATCCTTGATTAAGGCAGCCGCCGATATTGACATGGACCTCGTTCGTGCTGCGATAGACGACTGGCCGCGCAGATTGAAGGCCTGTATTCAAAATCACGGAGGTCATTTTGAATAAACTTTAGTGTCATAAGAATCTATGTTTTGTTAAGTTCATTTTGGTATATGAATAGTTACATAATGAATAAACTTGTTTCAATTATTTTACATTAAACATGTGACAGAATTTATGACCTGACTAGGTATATATTAACTTCATTATTGCTCGTCATTGTTTATAGCACGTTTACTTGCAATTATCTTAATTTTTTTGCTTTGTGTGTGTGTGGTAGATTTTTTTATTGGACTTTTTATATGTAACTTTTTAATTACAAATGTGGATACCGGAGAAACTTCCAACACACGAACATGAACACTCAATTCCAAATACCAAATGTATTTCAGAGAAAGAAACGTATTGAGACCGGAAATCGAAACCGGACCCGCGGGTCATGGTCACTATCAAATGGACGAACGAGGGGAATCTGATTCTTGGAAAAGAAGATATTTTGAGTTATCACAAATATTAGTTTTCATGTGCGTTTAAAAACCCTTGAAAGTACCAAATACGAAGCTTATCCATTTTTAATTTTACTAATATGTTACTGGGGTTGTATCACCTATCTATTTATAAGCTATCTATTTGTGTAATAGATGAAATTCAATTCTTTGACACCTCAATGTTTGGGTACATTTTATATATTACATTTCTCTCTTTTGCTCTGTGACTGATTTTTGTGGGTAAAGATGGAAAAAAGTGAACTGTCACGGAAATGTTTTTATTGGTGAAACCAACACTAATTACTGTTTTCACACTCTTAAATACATATTTAATCATAACAAAAAAGGAAGTCAATAGAGAAACAGAGGGTAAAAGACACTAAATAATATTCTGTAATATAATTAAAAAAACTGAATTTTTACAATTTTTCTACTTAATAGTTTAAGCCAATCTCGTTAACTAAACAAAATGTAGGATCGTGTGAGAGAAAGAGACGAAAATGGTATTTAAATGTTATAATTTTTACCTATTTAAATTATTTAGATATTACCTACTAAAATTTGTTTTAGAAATACCTTTTATCTAATTTATAAAATAAAGGTGTATGTATTTGTTTGTTCGTATTCCCAAGTGGTACACCCGATTTAGTTGAGCATTTGTGAAGTTATCGGAACTATAAGGTACGGTTTTTGTTATGGTAAAATCAAAATATGACAGGTAAAGCGGAGCAGTCAGCAAATGAGTAGTTTTCATTCATTTATTCATAATCAAAACAGAGCATAATATCTAGGTTTCGTATTTAAACGTCATTGTTTATTAATAGCACATTAAAACTATTTAAAACGTTCTGTTTCATTCGTATTTAAGTTATTGAGAATACTAGAGATCCCGCAGTAGTCGAAATTCGACTATAATTAATTGGAATTGTAAGTTTGTGCACTATTATGATTGTATTTTATACTTCTATAATCACAAATTTCGCCAAGACTACATTATAAAAAATATTAACAAAGAAAACAATATTTAATCTATTCTCAATTTGACAACAGACGTCAAGAACAAAAGTTTGACAATAAATATACATAGTATGCATGCGTGTGTGCGTCAAATACATGGTATGTAGTGTGTGTAATGTTTTTTTTATTGATTCAATGTATCTTTCCTGCATTATTTAAAAAAAATATTAGCATTGTGCACTTCTTCTCTATATTCTCTATAAGTGTGGAAAATTTCATACTCCTCCGTCCGCGGAATTTTCGTAAAAAGGGATACAAAGTTTTTGCTTCACGTGTTAATATATAGATTTTTCATTTACAATGCATAAAGCATATCACTAAAATGGAGCGAGGACTTTTACCTTTAAATAAATCTCAGTATATCAAAAGCCCTTTGTAGAAAAGAGCAGTAAGAACCTTCGCAAATTTCTAGTTTCATGCATGATGGAAAAATATTATCTTGTTATACTTTTTTTTCCTCAAATAGACTTTCAATAGTATGTGACCATTCGATGTAACGAAAGGGCCGAGTCGGAAGGAACTTGTAATGTCCCCGTGCCGGGAAACTGATCTTTATGGAAATGTTAAGCCATTCGTTTTTCTATTGAATACAGAGAGGGATGAACGGTATGTCTGCGTTTTTTTCTCTCGATGGTCATTTCTTATGAATTGAGTTTCTCTTTGATATATGTAACGTTTTTCTTTATGGATATTATTCGCTTCACGCCCCAACTTGTATAAGCAGTTGGAATGAGCTCAAATAAACACCACGAGGTGAATGCCGCCAACAAACTCTAGATGGAATCGAAGGCCCAAATGTGGAATCATTATGGTTATCTTACTTCCTGCTGCATAAATGGACAAGACTGTGATACTGTCACGAGCACGATCACAGATGGTAGGGTCTTATGTATACCCGAACGTTATGCGGCCACTCCGTACGGTAAAGTAGTCACGCTTACTGATGCTAAGAACTAGGAAGACGTTATACAATGCAATTGAGCAGTAAATAAAGTATAGTGCTCTAGTTCAGAAAGCTGTAAGTTGAAAGTACGTTTAGATTTAAAATTACATACACGTTAGACTTCAATTTGAAATTTATCTATCCTATCACTCCCTCCGTGGCGAGCGTCACCTCTTTGTATGCCTGGAAGTATCCCGAAGCGTAACGTTTACAGTTTTCAAGAAAATAGGATAAAACAAAAGAAAAGAGCTTAGTAACGGAATAAATCATGATAAATTTACCACTTCGATAAAGCGGCACGACATGAGAATCCTCTCATTGTGGCCGCCGGAAACTACACAGCCGATCCTGTAGACTAAATGGTAAACAGTCGACGTCGCCCAAAACACATCATTTCGGATCCTTCCGACCCACTAACGGCGCTTTTAGGTACACCTTATTTCTAAGGGACCATTTTACTTCGCTTGCAAATCACCGGATAGAGACATAGATGCTTCAGGAAGTTCCTAGACCGAATCGGAATGGAGTCGATTGAAGCAAATTGGTCCTTAAGGCTTGTCTTCATCATACAAACCCGCACCGACTTATGCAAGCGTAGTGCTTAGCAATGACTAGTCTTGATGGGGCGTTGTTGCAGAGGCAGACGGCGTTCTTCTCTTTTAGCTCGTTGTCGTCAAAATAACAATAAAACAAATATAACTTTTAAGTATTATATACAAATTAACTAGCGTAAAGGAAATCTTTACTTACATTAGCATTATAAAGTATCGCTGAAAATGTAATTTCTTTGTTTTATCGGCGATCAATCGACACTCGTACGTACGTAGGTACTTACCTATTTTATTGCTTGACCGAAAGCAATCAAGATGTAATAGTCGCCGCGAAGGTTGAAGCTACTTCGTTATTTTTATTTCAGAATTACTACCCTATTGCTTCATCCTAATGAATCTTAAAGTAAGTATTTCTATATTTGTATGTAAAATGTTCTATGAGAAACACTTATGTGCCTTAGGTTTTAATCAATTGTTTGTTGTTTAAATTTATTCTTTATTGTTTTTCAAATTCGCTATTAAAGTTAGAAACTGGTTAAGTAATTTGCAGGTGTATTTAAATAAGCCGAATAAATTTATTTAAATTATATTGTGAGAAATAACGTCTTTGTTCACTTTGTTAAAGTTTAGTATAATTTTTTACTCTACGTTTATAGAAAATATGTTCCTTTGGATTTTTAAGCTCCTAATCAAAGCTAAAGAGGTCATCTATTGCGCATACTTCAAATGGTTGTAGGGTGTTTGCCTAGAATATGATCGCCCAATAATATATCCGACCGCCGCGCCGGTATCATAAAAGACAATTATAAGTAATTCAGCGGAGAATGGGCAGTAGTGTTCTCCGAGCATGAAACTAATGTCGCGAAAGGGCCTGTACCGTGCGGACGTGTGTATTGTTAGTTCGGACGCGCTTCAAGCGTTGAAAATGGGAAACCAACGATGGAGTACAGAAAAAAATATAGATCTTATTGATGAATATCAGCGACAAGGGTGTCTCTGGGACCCGAAACACCTACAGTAAAAAATCAAAATTATCTTCAGTCATTCGAAAATAGTTTTTATAACTCTCAGGATCTTCATCTGCTAATTCAGAGACTAACTTCATTGCATCTGCTAATTCAGAGACTAACTTCATTGCATCTGCTAATTCAGAGACTAACTTCATTGCACCTAAATGCCTTCTTGTTGACCATCCTCGAATCTACCAACGTCTTTTTTTTCTTGATAGTATTTTTTAAGTTTATAGGTATATAAGCATTTCTTTAGCTACATTGAATATAGAAATTATAGCTTTGCTGCTGAAGGCGCCATGGTTACTGCGATACTGTGGATTTCGCGACACAAATTTTTTAACGAAATTACTTTCGCATATATCGAAACTACTTTCGTGAAACTGAGTTCAACATGCATGACACTAATTTCGTAATGTAAATTCCGCATTAAGGCGAATTTACATTACGAAATTAGTGGCATGAAATTAATTTCGTGACATTAGTTTTACCAACAGTTTCACGTGTAATTTAATACTTTCGTAATGCATGCATTAATTTCATGCATGCAAATTAGTTTCGTGCCCCGCGCGGTTTTTTGGTGAAATTGGTGTCATGAACTAATTTCATAGTGTAGACGCGACGTGAAACTAATGTCGCGAAAGCGCCAGCGCTGTACGGACGTGTGTATTGTTAGTTCGGACGCGCTTCACGTGTTGAAAATGGCAAACCAACGATGGAGTACAGAAAAAAATATACAATTCATTAATGAATATCATCGACAAGAGTGTCTCTGGGACCCGAAACACCTACAATATAAAAATAGGGATGCCCGAGATGCGGCCTACAAAATAATTATGGAAGCCATGGAGATGCAATGTGTCAAAGAAGTTGTTGGTAAAATACGATCACTTCGAAATACNCGGCCTACAAAATAATTATGGAAGCCATGGAGATGCAATGTGTCAAAGAAGTTGTTGGTAAAATACGATCACTTCGAAATACTTACAACAATGAGTTGTTAAAGGCAAAAAAATCTAATACTACGGGTATGGCAACCAATGATCTGTATATTTCTAAAATTCCTTGGCTGTGTCATTTGGATTTCTTGAAAAATATTGACAGTTACACGAGAGAAAATACAGAAAATATGGTAAGTATACTTTATTCTACAATATTACAATGGATGTTTCGCTTTTGCCTCCATGCATTTAAAAAAGCATTCTCTCTTGCCATTCTACACGACCATGTCCAATAAAGTAGTATAACCTTGTCTTATGAGGGTTACATTTCTAGAATGATTTCTATCCAGATTACGGAGTGTGGAAAAAGCTCCTTGGGTTACCTTCCGCCATGAACCTTCCACTAATTCTCTCGTCTCTGGATTTTCTTCATCAATCCCGGAATCTATGTAAGTCGATGAAATAGTTTTCAGCCAATTATGCCAGACACAACATGTCTTTATTATTTTGTCCACAGTTTCTGGCAATACCGGGATAGGCTTCTCGAATATCCGAAACTTACTAACTAAGACACCAAAAGTATTTTTTATAGTCCTTCGAGCTCTGCTTAATCTGTAGTTGAAAATTTTTTGCTTGTTTGATAAGTCTAATCGACGACTATATGGTGTCATAGGATATTCGGTTAGGGGGAAAGCATGATCTCCCAACAAAACCATTCCTTCAGGAGCATTCAAGGGGCGTTCCTCCAACATTGTTTTTAAATTTGATCTAGCAAAAATTCCCCCATCAGAAGCACGACCATAATGACCCACGTTAATGTATCTAAATTTTAAATTACTGTCACAGACTGCTAGAAGGACTATACTGAAAGTTCTCTTGTAATTATAGTAATCAGTTCTTGAACGCGCTGGACAACGTATTTGGACATGTTTGTCATCTATAGCGCCACCATAGAACGGAAAATTACATTTGTCACTAAAACCATAAACTATCTCGCTCCAAGTTTCTTCTGTGTTTGCCATCTGTAAAGAAAAAAAGTTCATTAAAAATATAATTAATTGTTTCATGCACCAAATACCCAGGCAGCTTCTACTTCAGAATCTGAGAGGCAAGATTTTACCGTACCATCCATACCTACAAAAAATAAAAGAAAAATAAAAGATCCTCTATTGCAGGCAGTAGACGCATTAGAAAAAGTTGCAACGCAGCACTTTTTAAATGATGAATTTGATCTTTTTGGACAAACTATAGCTGAACAGCTACGGCAACTTCCTTTAGAAATTGCTCTGAAAACAGAGGAAATGATTTTATCAACAGTCCGAAAGCAACGAATCAAATTAGCAAAACAACAGACATCAACTCAATAAGTTCGCCTTCCAACTTTATCCTCGGAATCCAATACCTTTGCTTCTACCAGTGGTAAAAGTGGTGTAGTAACAGACAATGAGTATCCTTATGATGAGGACTACGATGTACTCGCACGGGCTGTAGCAAGCATTCATGATACATCTATGTCGAAGTCCAAATAGAGTTATGATCAATATTAATTTTTAAATATCCTAAGTTGTTGATTGTTTGTAGCTACTTCCAAATAAAAAATAAAAATTATTTGCTTACCTCAATTAAGTTTTTTAATTCTTGGTAGACTGCATCCAAGATCTCAGGCACAAATTTCGATATACTACAAGATGATACCCTGAATTCGTATGATAAAGACTTAAAACTATTTCCAGATGCTAACAAGCGCAGCGTAATTTGAAGTTTAAGTTTTGCTGGTAACGCTTCTCGACATATCGTATCTTGTTTAGATATTTTGTTGGACACTCTTGTCAGTAAAAAATTAAAATTATCTTCACTCATTCTAAAATAGTTTTTATAGCTCTCAGGATCTTCATCTGCTAATTCAGAGACTAACTTCATTGCACCTAAATACTTTCTTGTTAACCATCCTCGAATCCACCAACGACTTTTTTTTCTTGATTGTCTTTTTTTAAGTTTATATATAAACATTTCTTTAGCTACATTGAATATAGCAAAATATAGATTTGATGCTGACGGCGCCATGGTTATTGCGATACTGTGGATTTCGCGACACTAATTTTTTTTACGAAAGTACTTTCGTATATGTATATCGAAACTACTTTCGTGCAACTGAGTTCAACATGCATGACACTAATTTCGTAATGTAAACTCCGCATAAACAGACGTTTACTCATGTTAGGTCCCATTGTAAGTCCGTACGGGTTTGTACTACCATCCTGCCTATTTCTGCTACGAAGCAGTTATGCCTTCTGATGTAATCGATGAGACAGTCGTTACATATTACAATCGGGATTTTGGCCTTATATCTCAAGGTAGCGTTCACGTTGGGTCAATGGGTTCAATTTCTATGATGTCTATAAGCTCCCGTCACCATTTTACAGGAAGTGGGCCCTGATCAAGTCCACACACGTAAGCAATGAATAATAATTTAGATGTACACATATTATTTTTAATTACAACGATGAGGATGTTTCTGTACAGTTTTGCAATTAAAATAGAAAATTGATTTTAAGCCCGAACGCTAATTCCAACTAGTACCTAGTCTGCGCGGACGGATTGGCAAGTTTAATTTATTTGCTTATTTGCCTAGACCAACTATAGTGCTCACTACATCTGTACAAAGTTTACAAATCTATTTTTTCGTATTTTGAAATATTGTAATAATTTTTACACATATTATTATAAATTCTCACATAATTAAAAAACAACCATTTAGGTATTGTAATGGCCGTGAGATTTTATAGCGTTTGAATTTGGATTGTTCGTTCTTTAATTAAGGAATTTAGTTCACAGCTTATGAACATACATAGGTAATTTGCATGAAAATTATTTTAATTATAAATATATGTTGGAAACACTTTCTTCAATTCAATTTTGAATTAAGGTGAGTTTTAATGTACCTACTGATTACAACAGATTGTTAGCTGTTGTCAATAAATTTACAATGGGCTAAAGATTAATTATTCAATGATTGTTGATTTCATTGGTGCTAATCGTAATCCTATTTACTTAATATTAGAGTGTAAGATACATTCAAGACAGACATAGGCAGTACGGTGGACTGATCGGTTTGGGCTCATAAAATAACTGGTTTAAAAAAGTAATTTTACATATTTACTATATTGATCAATCGGGGATCTTATCTCCAAGCCGTGACAAAACTCGTTGCGACTACTGCTTGGAGAAGACGTGTGCAAGACAGAGGAGTTACGAATAATATCTGAGGGGTCGTAATCTCTGGCAACTTTTTGCCTAATAGACTAGATCATGATAAGATTAATCAAATGATCTCTTTCTAACCTGTGCCTGTAAAAGCTTCCTAGACCTATATTTTCAATTTCGTTTTTATATAGACCTGAAAATCCAGTTTCGGGTTAGATTTAATTGCTTATCAAATTCAACAAGTTTGTGTTAAGAATAAAAACTTGAACCTTGTGATTTTATACAAAAAATTCTGCCCCAAAGTTTATGACGATTTTAGCGCACATACCCTTCGTATTATAAGAAAGTTTTAGTATGTGTGTCACGTCACGCCAATATTCATGTTTATAGGCGTTCGTGTCTTTAATAAAATGCCTTTATAGGATATGTTATGATATTCCAGAAAATTCACTTACATAGTTTTCATGTATTGGCAATTCGATACTTACTTTTTAGATAACTTCACGTAAACTTTACAATTTCGAGTTGAATCCTCAAAATGAGAAAAACAATGAAACTTATAATAATTTCGATTTTATTACATAAAAGAAAGAATTAAATGGTTATGAATGTTACGAAATTGAGCGACACTATGAGAAGTACTATATAAATGTATTAAGGAATCTGTGCCCAGAATGACGATTCCAGTTTTACTTTGCGAGTAGAATTAACCTGTAAGAGGTAAGTTCATCCTCCTCCTTGCGTCGTATTCCTCACTGCTGAGGGTCGTGACAACCCTTTTGTATAACCTTCGCACGCACGATCTTTCTCTATCTATTCTTGTCTCTGGCGGTGTGGAGGGCGTTTTGAAATGTGGAATCAAGAGCGGTGCAGATCTAGTCGGACCAACGTATTGCGCTGCGCCTCCGAGGCCTTTTCCCATCCGCCTTACCAGTCACGATGAGCCTCTCGAGATTGCTACCATCCTTCCGTGCAATGTGACTGAAGTATTCAAGGACTCTGCGAAGACACTCGGATGAAAGCCGCGAGGAGATTTTGAGTTCTTGCAAAATTTAAACGTTAGTCCGAAACGCTGTCCACGGAATACGGAGCATCTTTCTCCAGTACCACAGAGAAGACTAGATTCCGTATTTGTTTGGTCTTTACGGGAATGTTGTGATCTCTCCAGATTTTTCCGAGCTGAGTCATGGCACTCTTGGCCATGCTAATTTTTCGGCGCACTTTCTTCTCGCACGAGCCATTGTTACTGATGTTGGAACCCAGGTAGTTAAAGTTGTCCACTATATCTAGGTCCAATGCGCCAGTAAGTTACAATTTTCCAGACCTATCCACCACCATGACCTTGGTTTTGGACCTGTTTATGAAAAGCCCCATCTCCTTGCTTATCCGCTCCATTAGGTCTAGAAGCGAACCATTTCCGACTCATTTGCTGCAAGAAGGGTAGTGTCATCGGCGTAACATGTTCGTGATTTTCACGCCACCGACTGTTATGCCTCCCACCCAAATTTTTTTTATATATTTTTTTTATTGCTAAGATGGGTGGACGAGCTCACAGCCCACCTGGTGTTAAGTGATTACTGGAGCCAATAGACATCCACAACGTAAATGCACCACCCACCTTGAGATATAAGTTCTAAGGTCTCAAGTATAGTTACAACTAAATTCTCGCAGGTCCGTCTCATTAAGTGCTCTTCTTATGCGTTGAAAAGAATGGGCGATAAAATACAACTTTGGCGTACTTCTTTGTGAAATTTAAAAGGTTTTATGGTTGTTCTGTGGACTGCCTGACTTGAGCCATACAAGCTGCGAAGTAATGCGATGAGATGATTTGGTACCCCAAGTTCTTGTAGAACTTTCCATAAACTATTCCATTTTACCATAGCATTATACATAGCATTATGAGGTTCGAAGATGGTGGTATCCAGGCATACGATATCACGATATGTCCTGCCATCGGTAAATGCTTAGCTTACCTGTATTTATACTACATTGATCGCTACATATATCCCATTACGAAGACCCAAATGTATTGTGAAAGAAATTCTGATCTATTATAGCCAAAATTTGTTAATGTGACTTGTTTTATACCAATCTTTTGTTATGGTCGTTAGACTAGGATCTTTATGGAAAATATCTAATTGAAAACGAAGAGGTTCAAATATCAATTGAGGAAATCAAACTCTAAGTCTTGTAAAAAAATATAAAAAGCAAACGAATTAATCGGAAAAAATTAAGGTCGTCGACGCTCTCACACTTGCATTGACCTTGAAAGCTTGATTGACTGGTTGTATTTTACTTTTTACGCAGGTGCTCACCGGCTAGGGCCACTTGTTTCAGCCGACACCTGCAACGTGTCGCCAGGAGGGAACCGACAGTGCACGAGGAGGACACCACGGAACACACGTTCATGTGTTGCATCGCATGGGCTAAATAGCGCGCCGCCTCGTCGCGTTCATAAGAGAGGAATTGTCGCTGCGGACCGTCGTTGTTACGATGCTTGGCAGCGACACGTCCTGTACAGCAATGCTTGACTTCTGCGAGTTAACCATCTTACAGAAGAAAGCGGCAGAATGAAAGAATTCTTCCCTCTCCACATCGGTCTATTGCTGTTGATCCGGAGGTCGGAGTTGAAGGGTGTCAATGTCGTGCGGTGTACTTCCAGCACTCTAACGCAATGAGTAACATCGTAAGACCGACCGTTGACAGTATATCGCGTTCTATTCTAACTGGCGCGGGCTGGTCCTGACCCAGCGGGGTATCCCGGGATATGAACTAGGTTACATGCGTGCTTACGGGCTTACATGCTGAGACGGTGGACGTTCCATAGCCTTCGAAAGCTCCGCCGGTCGGGTGTCCTTGGGCCATGCGTTTGGTTGCAGTGTTGACAGGGATTGGATGCTTGGGCGAGAATGCAGGAATCGTTTAGTGGGTAGGGCCCTATATCATCCTTGGGCCCACGGTCCGCTTCCAACATGTGATGACGTCCGGTCTCACATACTCCGCGAGCCCCCTTAGCGCCGGGATTTCGGCCGGGATTCGACCAACGGCCTGAAAAAAAAAACCAACTACCAGAATTATTGGTAGTCAGTAGCTGACTTCGCTGCGTTTGTGGCTACCGGGCTTTTATTGGCAAATGCATATGAATTGAAAAGGAGGCTGTGCACACAACATATATATGTTTATGTTCATGTCGAATGGAATTACAGGATTTTCTAATAATTAATGTGTTGTGGAAGCGCCACAGCTGTCTGAAATCTCGATATTTTAAGATTAATCTTGATCATAATATATGGGGCCGCCTACAATGTTCCTTAATCAAGTTGGCTAGATAGCATTTGTTCTCTTGAAGATTTAATTCACCGATTAGACATAGTACTTAAGCGAATAATGTATAATATTCCATAAACATGAGTTATATATCAAAAATTCCAATTAGAATTTTTACGCGTAAAATTTAACTGTTACAATGTTATTATCCGTATATGCGAATCTACGCCATAAAGTGATATGAGAAACCTTGGTAGACAAAGTGATAATGGGCCGGTCGCAATCGATTAAGCTGTCGGCGTCGAAATAATTAGCAGCCCAATGATTTATTAAACCAATTCAAAGCCTGTGAGTGTGATGAAAGGTACATGTTTAATTATGCGTAATTATATGCGTGACCACACTTCTTTATTATCCCAATTACAATGAAATCAGCTATATG